CTTTTATTTAAAACACAACGCGTTTCAACCATTCTCAGGTGAGAATAATAATAATTAGTTTTTATTCTCACCTGAGGATGACCACTATGTGGTTGAAACGCGTTGTGTTTTAAATAAAAGTTTGGTGTGACAGGTTTAATCGTGTTTTGTTCATCGTTTCCATACCAAGAAGATCCAAGAAGAAATAGAACTTTTAACAAACGCCTTCATTTTTTTATCTTCGCAAATGCAAGACACTAAAAAAACGTTATAAGCTTATAGCTTCTACGTTCTTCTTTGCGGTAGTAAAAAAATATTTTTAGATGTCTTAGTTTTTAGTGTAATAAATTTTTAAAAAGTGCATGTTTTCATAAAAAAAAACCGTCTTATTTTTTAAACTAATCAAAATCGACCACTAAAAGTTTAAAAACATTGTCATAAAAATCTACATCTAAAAACGCTTAGAAACGTACGGTGTTTTATTTAAAAAAACACAAGTTTGTATTGTAACTTATTTTTGAGACACGCTGTATTGTTAAAAATAATTTTAGGCGATGGGCTAGATTAGTATCTATTAATGTAATTTTTTTTTAAATTTTACTATTTAAAGGTCACTAATGGACTTTTTCAACTCGCTGGGACTGCCTGAATAAGATAAGAATCGTGTAGAATGGAAAATCTAGAAAAAAACTGAATTATTCCTTGGAAACTTGCTAATTATCTCGTTAGAGCTGAAATAATTTTTGCCAGGATGTGCAAACACCGGCAGAGAGGTTAAACAAAGGTGGGTCGATGTTGAATAGGAAGTTCTTTCTTCCAACTTCGCTCATCTAATCTTTAAATTAATTATGAAATCGCAATCAATGGAGTTCACCTGATATCTTGATAAAATAACTTCGGACTTTGATCCGGGTTTTTATTCAGCGATGGAAAGTTTTCTTGTGTAATTTACGTACTTCAGCTTCCGCCTGAAAGCACTTTATCAAAGCTAATTTATCTTGAAAAATGCATTACAAAGTAAAATTAACGATTAAATTTAATTATAATTAACGGAACGGTCGGATCAGGAGCAGCGACTCAGCTTTTCCCTATCAACGCACGGCTAAGAGACCGACAAATGAAAAGATATTGAACTAAAAGTAAAAAAAAGAGACAAGAGAAGAGGAAACCACAAAGGAAAGTTCATAAAGTCGCTACCGCACTACCGAGGAACTTTATCTATTTTTAATGCTTTATCGCAAATAATTCACAGGACGGCAACACCATCAAAAGCTTATCGCATTTAGGCGTCGCCTTTTACATCAAAAATCATATCCACAAAACAAAAGCGAATAGTTTACGTACAAAGCAATCAGAAGCTTTAGGAAAATTATTGATAAATAATTCATGCTCCCTAAGATTAGGAAAATTATGATTACTTAACAACGACTGTATTGCTTTAATTTCATAAATTTAATATTAATTTATTGATTAAACATACCATGTGTTATAATTTCATGAGACAATATAATAAATAAAAATTTCGTGAATTGGCATCATTAAGATTTTTTATTAATGGCCTTCACCACGACTTCACTGTTTTTATTGCTTTATTTATTATTTTATGAAAATAGCAGTTTCTTGGTTTTTGCAGAAAAAAAAAACCGCTTTCCGAAAAATTCATTTATTATTGTCATACCTACTAGAAAAAGTGCTATTCTACTTTCATAATAAATAGACATATTCCATTTATTTATATTTTCTTATCGGGGCTCTTTAGCTTGATTTAAATTATAAAGTCTTAACAGAAAATTTAATATGCAAAATATACAGGGTGTTTCAATGAAAACGAGCCACCCCGAATATCTCAGAAACTAAAAAGACTTTGCAAAAAGGCCGAAACAGGTCAATTTTGTTTCCAAGGGGGACATTTTTTGACGTAATTTTTAAAACACTCCCAGTAATCCCCTAACCCCCACGCACCCCAAATTTAAAAATTTAAAAGGCACTACCCTACTTGTGGCATCAAATGAAAGCTATTTTAACAAGCTTTCCAAAACTTTTTACCAAAATTAAAGCAGACCATCCATTCATGAGATACAGGGTGTTCTAATAAAAACAAACCAGAAAGAATTTACAAAACAAAATAAAAATTACGTCAAAAAATGTCCCCCTAAGAAACACAATTGACCTGTTTCGGTGTTTTTGCAAAGTTTTTTTAGTTTCTGAGATATTCGGGGTGGCTCGTTATCATTGGAACACCCTGTATATAATTTAAAGTAGAGAAGGTTATACAGGATGTTTCAAAATATACGGATAACCCATGAGTTATGCGATTTTTGTCAAAATAACAACTTTTATAAACAAAATGATAAATATTGAATGAAACATAGATAGTTGTAATTCTTAGATCATAGCATTTGTAATAACTAACGCACAAGTAGGAAATCAGAAGCCCCACGAGTGCGTTAGACATTTTCCAGCGAGTTATGTACACAATTTTTCCCACGACCCCCGCAATACAACGACAAAAAAACACCACTATTTTCAATAAAACGATTCAATGTTTCTGTAAAAGATCTAACATCGGCAGTAATAAATTAGTTGTCTATTAGTATTAAATACTTAATTAAGATAATTTAGGTTTAAATACTCATTGGTTTGAATTTGCAGAACTTTACGTCAATTTTGAACGATAGAGTGAATAAATGTCAAAAAATGCATATGCCAATAACCAATCACCAATGCCAATCACGCTGAACTCACTAGACGCGCCTAGAGATCTTCGCGAACCACACAACCTCTGTTACGTTATTTTCTTAACATACACGTGTGGTTAAGGAATAATCGATTCGTTCGATATCGTCAACTTTAGTAGATAATTCGCTGTATGGAAACAGTTACTTTCGTATACGATCATGGGAACAAAGTTTAATAGCGAGTTGCCATTAAAAAAAAATAAAAATTTGCAAAACTCTAAAACAAAATAAGATTTTGAAAAATTTCATTCTTGGTAGAGTACTTTATCATTCATTAATTAGTTTTTTCATAAAATAAAATAAAAGTCCTTGGCTCCATACTTTTATTTCACTCTGTATATTAGTGGTGTCTATATGTATTGAATTTTACACCCGATATGCGTTATACGTGTTGTAGTTATCATACTCGCTTTATTCGCTCAAGTAAAAACAACTCAATAATAATAAAAAATAGTTAAAAAATAACTTTATTTAATTGTATTAGAATTTTGTTGTAAACTAAAATTTATAGGCGTGCCAGTTTATTGTTTATTTCCTCTAAAGTAAACCGAGTTTTCGCCGAGTCTGATCAGCTTCGTTTGCTTTCAATCCCATCCCCATTACAAATTACAGTTTACTCCAGCAGTCTGTTCCATTGATTTTCATTAACGTGCAAATAACGTTGCCGTTTCGGATGCAAATGCTTTGATTGCCTGTAAACAAAATAGCTGAAGTTAAAGTGTGAAATTGTGACGAGCACAATAATGAGTACACCTGTAAAAATCGTTTCAGAAACAGAAAGTTTAAAATTTCGTAGACAGAAATATTTCAGAGACTGTGATATTAGTCGCGTGGAACCCGGTCAAATAGTCAATTAAAGGTTTCAAACATCTGCAACCAACATTACACATAGACGACACCTGCTACCTATATGGAACCACTTAGGGGCTTTTAGACCGTCACTATAACTTTATTTACTTACCTAAACTCCATTACACTTTACGGTATAAAGTATACACAAAGCCACTTTACTAGCGAGAAAAACACTTAAGGATTTGATCAATTATTGATAGGGGAGGAGATAACGGCTACTATAACTTTCGCGCAAGAGTTCCCAAGTAATGTTTGTGTTAAATTATCGAGCAGAAAAAGAAAGTTATGAAAAAATGTTACATAACCCAAGTAATGAAAATAATGAAATTTATTGTTTTTTCCAAGCACATAAAGTGAAAATTCTTGAAAAAAACCATTACAATATAGCCAGCATCTCCTACGTTTGAATCATTGATTAGGACATGTTCGAAGATGTAAATTCCGCAAAATCAGTGTTGACTTTATCGGCTTAAACATTCCTCATTCGTTTTTTGCTTTCACAAAATGAAATTTTTATGAGTTTGGGGTAAAACCACCGTCCCCATTCGGCAATTCGGTGTCATTTTAATATTCATTAAATTTCCCCGAATAGAGAAAAGGCATCGTAGGTGAAATATGAATCTCGTAATTGTTTCGAATGTCGAAAAACGTCTCGGCTCCCTCTCTCAGATAATGGGATTTCTCTTTGCACGTAAGCTAAGTGGCTCGCTAAATGCGAAATAAATGAAATTTACAGCTCTCGAAATAAAATCTGTCGAAATAAATGCGTTTCGGTGTGAAGATGTTTGTTTATACGGAGGAGGCTTAATGGTCCCATAAGTAATCGTAAACAACAGTGTAACGTCCATTTAGGGGATGAAATAGTGGACAGATTTAAGAAATAATAGAAGAGAAGGCTTACTTGGACCACCTCTATTTTTATTTCCTCAATATAAGCCGAATGTGAACCCGAGTCGGCGTCAGACGTCTCCGGGAAATGAAGATCTATGGAGACTTTCAGGAGACTTGGGTCATTTATCTTAAAACCAAAAGCTAGGGAGGCCAGGTGGTAATCACGAAAAGCACGAAAACGAAAAATTGTCCTCCGTGCGATCATCGTTGGCTTAATGAAGTCACAAAGAGAGGTTAGGCACGCCCATAATCACGTGGTGCAGTTCCAACCAATTACTGTCCCTCGATATTTTTAAATTTTATTATCACCAATTTCGTCAATATGATAATACTACAGTTAATCGAAAGAAAGCCAGAGGCGGCGCGACGTAATTTTTCTATTTTTCTTAACACGTATGACAATTCAATCGCCGACTTTAGAACAAAATCAAATAAAACTAAAGCTTTAAAGCTCCGCCATTCGGGATTAATGTTCTTTGTGCACGCGACCTGATCGAAACAGGCAAGAGGAAAACGGAGGGAAAAATCAGAAAAACTCCATCTAAAAAAGTAATTTTTATAGTCGCAAATTCCATTACAAGAGACAAAATTTTATTTTTTACAAAATATATATCGTGGTCGCAATAAAAATGACAACAATTATAATAATAACAACAAAAGTAGTACAACAGAATTAGTGGCATGCCCACTTTCCCATAGAACCCTAAACACGTGATGTTAATCTTAAAGACTAGATTTTGTAACTTAAATTTATTATCCGACCTTTTAAAGAATGGGAATTATGGTTATGTACAAGTTAGATGTCGCTCCATATGACAGCCTTCTTTGATCTGTCTACGCTGGCTAGCATTGTTCCGTATGGGTGCCACCCGGTAGCTGTCACGGCGGACCTGGAGAAGAGGCCATGAGATCTTCACAAGCCATGTAACAAATACCACAAACATGCAGCCAACACGTATCTACTGCACAAAGAGCGGAAGAATAAATCAAGTACCCCTTCTACCATACCAAATAATCGAAAAAAGTTTCGAAATTGGTACTATGACTCGGAAGAATAGTTCAGACTATTCAATTCACCTCTCTTTTTTCAAATATTAACCAATAATATGGCAGATAAGTACGCATATTTACTTTCGCATTAGCAACAACAAATTCAAGCAAATATTGATAAAACATAACTGGATATTCCACGAGTGTTGAATATTTTAAACCGCTTGCTATAAAATTAAAATCATGTGTAACGTAAATTTGCCATTTGGTTCATTTAATAGTCTGTTGAACACAATTCGTAGTCAAAGATTGTAGAATATTTTTATTCATGGTCATTCGTGCTGCGCACTCATGGTGTTCATGAGCGTTACTCATAGAGAAATAACGCATAAAACAACTGATTAAACTATTTTTTAGCCGAATAATTATCATTCTGCCACAAAACGTTTAATCAATGAAAACGAACAAAGTTAATTAAAAAAAAATAATCAAATTTGGCCTATACCCAGTACATTGTATAAGTAGTAAAAATTCATTTTTGAAAAAAGTTTAGCTTCCTATTTCGAAATAGTGAAAATTTTTGATTGGTTTAACATTTTGCCTAAAGTGACTGCATTTCCAAATGATAAATCAGTCTGGATATTCAAAAACTTTTTCCTTTTACTCAATTTTAAACAAAAAATATTTGTGATGTAAACTATCGAAAAAGTTAACCTCTATACTTTTTCAAGTTATTTAAACAAAAAAAAATAAATTAAAGTTAGATAAACGGGTACTCAACTTATTTGAACAAAAAGCGCCAACAAAAGCATGTAACCCACTTACGAGTGCTCCTTTAAAACCATTTCCACTTTTCCGGAATTAACACCCCATATGTAGACGTTGCCATCAGCCGACCCCACGGCTAGGTACTGACCATCGGGGCTAAAAGTAACTCTCGTCCAGTCACAGCCAACTTTAAATCCATCACAGCTGCAAGAGAAATTTAAAAAATTAGTCCCCTTTTTCTTAATATTGATTGAAGTCTTGTCGGAAGTTTTATCAGTGACGTTGACGAGTTCCCCACAAAAACTCCCTTACAATTCATGTAATTTTCAAATCGCGGTTAAGAAAAATGGAAAAAATTCCGTCGTGGCAAGTGCGCGATAATGGTTAAAGTTTTCGGATTGGAGTTTTCACGCCAAAACACCGTCGAATATCTAATAAATCACAGCGCGCGGACCGGAAATCCGTCGAGGAGGACGAAGGAGTCGAGTAATTCATTTTCGTACAAAATGCGTTAAACATTTTAAGGGGAAAGTGGGTTAAGTGGAGACGCCAACAGGTTCGAGCTGTGTGTATAGGAGGATGAAGGGAGTGATAAGACGGCTCCCTGGGCGAGACTGATATCGCCATAAAGTCATCGTTTTTATCTCGTGTCATTAATCTTAAACCAGACAGAATATCGCGGTCTATAGTTGTGAATATTCACTCAAGAGGGATGTCCCGCAGAGATATACAACAGATTGTGTCAAGGGGAGTGGAGCGAAAAAGAAAACTTCATTTTGAATATTTTTATTCGAGTTTTAAGCGATAATATCCAGGAGTTATTTTATTGAAACGAGTGTTATTCTTCCTTGATTTCAACCAAACTTTAGGTCGTTAAAACTTTTCTATTATAGATATACGCGCAGCGGCGTACCAAAAGGGTTATAGTTCCCTTTTCGTTCAACAATAAAACGTTTTATTGCCGGAATTACTAAAATTACTAGTTTTTAATAATTTAAAAATAATTGTTCTACCACCACATTTGATAAAAAAAAACTTGTTAGTTTATCTAGATCTACCAAAACATTAGTAAGAAATTAATAGGCCATCAAAATCTAGTAGATTAATTAATTAATATTTCACCTAGATCTATTGAAAAATTTGATAAAAACTCATTGTCTAATCTAGATCTACTAAAACATTATTTAAAAATATTAGTAGACAATCTAAATTTATTAAAACTTTTCAGAAAATGTTTCAGGTCATCTAGATCTAGCAAAAAATCAAAAAAAGAGATTTACACCCTCTAAGTTTAGATTTATTAGACCTTCGACTTGAAAAATTGTTTTCACTATGAGAGCTGCCTGTCTGTCTACTAAATTTGTAAGCAATTCTTTAGAAGCATAAAATATGTTGCTGTTGTATTGTTGATTTTAATAACAAATCATATTTAACCTATTCTAGATTCAATCTCTTACATTATATTGATAGTCAATCTAGATCGATTAAAAATTTTGATCAAAATTCATTGTCCAATCTTGATCTACCAAAACATTAGTTAAAAAACTGGTAGCCAATCATCTAGATCTATTAAAACTTTTCAGAAAATGTTTCATGTCATCTAGATCTGTTGAGTTATTTAAATCATATTTAAAATATTCTAGATTCAATCTCTTTCAGTAAGTAGTAGTAAGTAAAGCAATTTGAGCTTCGAACACAATTTTTCTCGATTTTACTATAGAAATCATTATAAATTAAAGTATTCTATAGAAATAACTGCTTAAAATCCAATTTTAGACCAAAACAAAGTAATTTGTGCAATTACCAATCGATTTGGGTCATTTTCAAGCAGAAAATCAATCTGAATCAAAGTATTTCAACAAAATAAGAGTTTGAATAAAAATTTTCTTCCAAAATAAAGTAATTTCCAAAATAAAGCTATTTTCAATCGGATTTTGCTCGATTTTAATACAGAATTCAATCTAAATTAATGTATTTTGTAAAAATATTTTTTCAATTTCAATTTCAGGCTGAAATGAAGCAATTTGTGCTATTTCCAATTGATTTGGCTCAATTTTAAGACAGAAATCAACCTGAATCAGAGTTTTTCAAAAAATAAAATCTTAAATAACAGGTTTCTTCCAAAATAAAGCAATTTGAGCTATTTCCAACCCAATTTTGCTCCATTTCACTACAATAATAATTCTAAATCAAACTATTTTATAAAAATAATAGCTTAAAATCCAATTTTAGGCGAAAATGAAGCAAATTGTGATATTTTGAATCTATATGGCTCAATTTTAAGCCGAAAATCAATAGATAGTTCATCTAGATCTATTGAAAATTTTGATTAAAACTAGCCAATCTACATCTATTACAACTTTTCAGAAAATGTTTCAGGTCATTTATATCTAGCAAGAAATTCAAAAAATTGTTTTAGACCTTCCAAGTTTAGATTTACCAAACCCTCTATCTGAAAAATTGTTTTCAGATTGAGAGCTGCCTGTCTACTGAATTTGTAAACAATTCCTCAGAATAAAATACGTTCCTGTTATAGTTATTAAAATTATATTTAAAATATCCTCGATTCAATCTCTCATTCAATAAATCTCGGGCGATTCATCCATGATTATCAGTCGCGACCATAATTCATCGCAATTATGTATGATTCACGTTGAAAAACAACGCAGTACCTACATTAACATTCACGCATATACGATGCAAATTTGTAGAGTTAATGTAAATATTAAATATTTATTATGCACACACCTGTTATTAAATAGAAAAGCTATTAATTAAAGGCATCTAACCACCTTTTTTTCCCGACTGTTGTTTTGCATGCGACATACATCACAATTTTGCTTTATTTTACCGTAAATGTGATGTTAAAAAACAAGCATACATAAGTAATGATCGTGAGAAGGTGAATTTATTTTAATTATATTAAAAACAAGCACTAACGCACAATTTCATCCAAATTATCACTTTACGTTCCGCTTTGGTGTGCAAACAAATATTTTTTAATTTAAGCAAAACAACTTCCTTTGATCTTCCTTCCGAGTCGACTCCGGTGCTTGGTTACAAAAATAATGCAATCTTACGGTCGGCAACTCGGTAAACAACAGTGCTAACAAGTTGCATAGCTCATATACCGTCAAGTTGTGTGGAATATAGTCGAGAATATTACATAATTTTATTGAAATTTATAATCACAAAATAGAAACTTTCCCTATTACACAGGTCACAGAAACCGCAAATAACTTCAGCTTTAAATAAATTTCTTGAGCAGTATTAAATGAAGTTACTTATTTGAATCTATGCGGGGTGTCTTGTTTCAGATCAAATGAAAGCAAAAATTGGAAAAAAATTACATTTTATAAACATTTGTATTATTCAGAATTAAATTGTAAGTTAATTACAAATTTCAATGTCGACATTTTTGTGCCATTATTCTTTGATATACCGTTATTCGACTGAGCATAGCCAGAGGCCAACAATTGTAGTAAAAATTAAATAATTTAATCTGACAGCACTTAAGAAAAAAATTAATTCGATTTAATTTCCTGTGACTGTAAAAAACTTGCACACAAAACAACTGATTAGTTTGTCGAGATGTACAATGATTTTTACAAAAACGAGTGATGTAATATTTTCTACACATTTTTAGTGTATTGCAATTTAACTGTTAATTGGAAAATATTTTTTTGCATCGGTCTCTGCAATGACTATTTTGCGAACTCAAAACACGCCTTTAGAGATTTGTCCTCTCATTTTAATCTAAAATTCCATTTTGCGTACTATTTATGTATCAAGTACGCAAAATAGGTCACCTAAAACCTTTTGCGTACGTGGTGCATACAAGATTTTAATTACTATTTTATTTTACTAAATAAAAAAATTTCGTTACCATAAGCAATTTTATTTTTTAGTCTGCAAAAACTGTTTTTGGTGACTGAGTACCTAAAATAACCGTGTTGCGTACTATTTTATTGAGTCCGGAAAAGACTCATTTTAGGGACTCAAATGAGTCCCAAAAACAGCTGTTTTCGGGAGCGTATACAAAAAATAGCAATTTTCACTTTAATCTCGTTTGGTTATTTTAGGTTATTTGAACAACTGTTGTATGATTATTAATTAAATATCAAAAAAATTATTTTTTCAATTTTCGTTCTTTGGAACAAAACATATACCAAAAAAATCACTCACGGTCACAAAACATCGAAGCAAAATATGTAAAAAATCAGAAAAAAACCGGTTGCAGTCACGAAAAAATTAAGACAAAAATAGCCCGTTTTTGCGTAATGACGTCATCGATATTTCTTAAAAAAAAAACCTAATTTTCGCCATTTCGATAGATCTTTTAATTTTGGAACTGACAACACCAAAATATTAGATATTACATAAAGTTAAAAAAAAAACTCACCAAAAAAGTCGAATAATATCAACAAAAAACAAACATACAACTTTAAATCAAATTGAGAATTTTGTATTTTTTTAAAAGAAAATTGACATGTTCGAGCATTTTTGTTAAAACAAAATATTTACAGTTTTAATAAATAAGATTGTTCCATAATTTTGCCGTTCACTGTTAATAAAGACCCTAACCTATCTTCAAACGCAACCCAAAATACACTCTCAGATTGACTGATATTTTGTTTAAAATTTTTGAAAGATATAAACATAGATACCTGTCGTAGGCGATACAGATTGAGCTACAGCATTTAGATTTAATCAAGATCATGTTAGCCTTTTGTCGTTTGAGTACATTTTAAATTAAAAGGAAAAAAGTGGAATTGATTGTCAAATTTAATGAATGACATATCAACATTTAAATTTCATAATTTAAATTTTTCAAACATAACAAAAGCCAAGTTCTCTGTGTAAATGTATTTTGGGTTGCGTTTAAAAATCGGTCAGTGTCTTGGTGCATTAGAGGCAATTAACCCCAATCCCTCAATTGTAATTGTAATTGTAATTGTAATTGTAATTGTAATTGTAATTGTAATTGTAATTGTAATTGTAATTGTAATTGTAATTGTAATTGTAATTG